GTGGAGCTAATTACTTGGGGGAAGGAAGGAGGGAAAGCTGAGCATCCCCTGTGGACTTTTTTCTTTTCAATACACAGCTTCTCCTCAACCTACCAAGATACCAGAAACTGGTATTTTCTCAGAGAGGCCATGCCACCTCTGATATTAATTGAGGGCCATCATATTAACAAAACAAAGACCTGATGGAAGGAAAACTACCAAGAGAGACCAGAATCCACACAGCAGACCTAGAGCGGTGAAATGAAATCCTTCCGCCTGTTACCTGAAGATGCTTGTGCTTACCGAGGGTGTATGTCTTGATGCTGACTTAATCTTTATCTATTGAAGAGTTCCTGGGGGCTTCCCTTCCCTAGTGGCGCAGTGGTTGAGAGTCCGCCTGCCGATACAGGGGACGCGAGTTCGTGACCCGGTCCGGGAGGATCCCACATGCCGCGGAGCGGCTGGGCCCGTGAGCCATGGCCGCTGAGCCTGTGCTCCGCAACGGGAGAGGACACAACGGTGAGAGGCCCACGTACCGCAAAAACAAACAAACAAACAAAGAGTTCCTGGGGGCTTCCCTGGTGGCGCAGTGGTTGAGAGTCCTCCTGCCGATGCAGGGAACGCGGGTTCGTGCCCCGGTTCCGGGAAGATCCCACATGCCGCGGAAAGGCTGGGCCCGTGGGCCATGGCCGCTGAGCCTGCGCGTTTGGAGCCTGTGCTCCGCGGCGGGAGAGGCCACAGCAGTGAGAGGCCCGCGTACCGCAAAAAAAAAGAGTTCCTGGTCATCTCCCCCGTCTTGCTATGATCCCTCTCTCCGATGGCACCCCAGGCAGTGGGCGCACCCATTCCTCAAAACATCCCCGAATTCATTCTCCTCAGTGAATCTCTTTAGACTTCCAAAGGGAGACTTAGCACAATAGGATTTTCACCTGATGTTCTTTCAGCTCTTTCTCCTTTTTTTTTTTTTCCAATGAGAATCCTTTGGTTCTCTTTCTTAGCTACATTAACTGTAGTGTAATTTTCCTTAAAGCATTTTCTGGGAGAAAAATTCTACACAACCACAACGATCTCTGCCCCAGAAAATAAGAATTCCCTTAGGGCAGATAAGAAACAAGTCAAGGGTGATATATTTGGCGCATAATACAAATGAAAAATTTGGTGGGTTTTTTTGCTTTCACAATCCTTTAATCTTGTTAAACAGGTAAAAGTTAGAGGCATCTGCAGCTGCATATTCCCGGGTCCTGGTCCTATCCAATGTCAATATATCATTGACATTTACTTACTGAAAGTTCCTTCCTCTGCCTATTTGTGAGTGCATTTCACGTGTGCCTTTAAAAAACTCATTATTTAGCTTTTAATACCCAGGAGGTCACTTCTCTCCTGAAGAATTATGGTACTTGAGAAGAGGAATGCTCCTGGGACAAGGTTGCCAGATTTAGCAAAGAAAATACAAGCTGTCCACTTAAATTTGAATTTCAGATAGACAACAAATATTGTTTTGGTATCCATATGTCCTAGATATAGCATACTTATTTATGGAACATATTAATCTACATGCAACATCATAATAAAAATTATGAAAATATTGTACTAAAATTATTATTTATCTGAAATCAAAATTTAACTAGGTGTTTTATATTTTATCTGGCAATCCTATGTGAGACCAGTTTTCAGATTCTACAGAGACCAGAGCTGGACTATTTCAGAGTAGGCAGCACATGTTTTAACTTTCTGAATAAGTTGGGAGGGGAGGCGGCAGGGGTAGAATGTTAGTCATTTCCCACTACAAATGGCATAGGAAGGGGTATTAGTTCAAATATATATACATCCCCTCAGACCCACTCTGCCACCTCAGAATCAGGGTGGATAAGATATAGGTGTTTGAGAGTGTTTTATAAATCATTGCTTGAAGCTATTGATGGCTTCTTTTGGAGGCATGCATTTTAATTAATTGTTATTCTTTTGTACTTCCTCCCTGAGGTGATTTTTAAAAACTTAAACTCTGTAATAATCAGTAAATTCCTAGGTCTATTTATATGTTGATATTTTACATTTTTTGAGGATTGTAGAAAGATTTAATGAGATATAAAATGATACAAGAGAAATAAAATATAATTGTCAATGGTGTCTATAAAAAAAAAGCTTCTCCAAAGAGTTAAACTAAAACACAGTTCCTTCAGAGTATGTCTGAAGGTCCAACCAAGGTTTAATGTAACAAGTAGTGGTCAGAGTCATATTAAAAAAAAAACCCTCAAATTCTGAATGTCAAACTGGAATAATAGACTCTAAAACTAATTATAAGCTTAGAATATTGAGGTCAACAGTTTTCAAACAGTCGGATTAACTCTTTGATAGAGGAAGTCTGTTCCCATGTGTCACAGCTGCACAGCCATCCACTGGCCTTAATTTTTTGGAAATGAGAATTTAGGTCCTACTCCCACCCCAATTCTTCTTAGCCTAAAAAAGAAGGGGAATCTATAATGGCTACAAAGCTATTAACACTCCCCTTAAAATTCTATAACAGAGCAGTAGATTAAAGATGGCCATACATTCTTTGCTCTTCTTCACACTGAAAAGTGATTAATCAACTTCCGTTTGAATCTGGATTGGTCTTGGTGACTTGCTTTATCAATAGAATGCAGCATACGTGACATGCTGGGAGTTTCAAGACAGTTTTAAAGGAAGCCTTTTCACTTCCACCCAGAACCTCTTCAAATGCTCTCGCTGGGCACCCTGAGTTTCTATGTAACTACCTGAGACCACTTAGCTAGGGAGACCACCCAAAGGCCCTCTGATAGACTGTTCCAGTAGGATCCAGCCTCCCAGCCCCTCCATCCAGGCAGACATATGAGCAAAGCTGTTTTGGCTTCCACACCAGCCCACCCACCAGATGAATACGATCCAGGGATCTCCTATTGAGGACTTGGGGAACAGAACAGCCCAGCCAAGCCTTGCTGGAATTCCTGACCCCTGAAATTGTCACATAATAAAATGGTTTTATTTTAAGCCACTATGTATTAGAGTAGTCCATGAAGCAGAAAACCAGAAAAAAACAGTGATATATTGCTCTTTACACTTAAAAACAGAATGAAGTGGAAGAAAAGAAGGGTTGGCTTATTAGAGAAGGTCAGAGAGGAGCAGTGGAATCAAATCCTCTAAAAGGAGATCATTATTGCATTGGACACAAATAAAAGATGAGTTAGGAATTTAGAAGACTCACGGAGTGTTTAAAAATTGTGTCACAATTTTTGGTAGACCGCTACTGTGATTTTGGGCCACACTCACAACTTTGGTTCAACTTCTTAGTGATTCAGAGAAAACAGCAGTGAAGTCTTGCTTCATGCAGACGCTGTGAACAGTAATGAATAAACATGACAAATAAACATGCTGCAAATAAGAACTGAAAATGCTAAATATGTAAGAAGCAATCTTTGCACCTACTGAAAAGCCTTCAGATGATTTCAAATTGGAGGTGTCTCAAGAGAAAATAACTTTGAAAATACAAACAGATTTTTATTTTTTGTACTTTTATTGAAAAGGTACATTTAAAAAAATACACAGACATTTTACCATTTACAGATTGCAGATATAGATGCTCTAAAAGAGTTCACTCTATTTTGCTGTCTTATACCTCTTGCCCCTGATATGACAAACATTCCAGTCCTGTTGATATCAGCTTAGAAACAGGGGGCATGGGAGCATGACCTGCAACAGATTCAGTGAACAGAAAAGACAGATTGTTCAATTATAAATTTTTTTATCTTCTGTACATTATTGCATTAGGGAGCCACAAAATTATGTAGCATCATTACAAATGAAAACACGTTAAAAATGAAGATAATGATATAGAAATACATGGATTCATTGTCTTCTTGCTGAACGCACAAGAGGTGCAAAAATGTGCAATTTAGGAAGCTCTTTTTCTGTTTGTATACATTTGCTTAGCAACTCAAACTGGTGAGGAAGTTACAAAATAAGTTAAACAAAAATAACAGACAGGTAGTAATTAGAGCTATGTTATATGGCTTTCTATTTCGTTTAAATATCACCAAATAAAATGTAAAATAAAGAAAATACGTTATCTTTTGTTCTCTTAAAGAGAAAATTCAAAGCTACTTTGCTTCCTAACATTTACACAGCAACTAAAAATGTTTAATTCAGACAAGAGATACAGATCTAGTACTACACAGGATACAACAGTACTTGGGTCTAAAACAGTACACAATCCCTGTCAACAATAGTACACCAAAAAGAAAACTCTGTGATCCGTTGGTAAGATGGTATCCACAAGTAAGCACTTGTGTTCGTCTATTTTTGTTCCACACTAGAATGTGCCCAGTTGGATTCCAGGATTATTTACAGACGTGTGAGGAAGACCCTAGTTTTCAAGTCTGTCAGGAAAATATTCCATATTGTTTCTAAGCCAGATCACACCCACGGAAAAATAGTCAGAAAAAAAAAAAAAAAAAAA